GGAAATTCTTTATTTTTATTAGATCTGAGGCATTTTGCCTGATCTTCAAGGAGAGTATAGTCATTATTGTGAATAATGATAACATTTTGTAATGTTAAATAAAAATTATACCATTTAAGTTGAGGAAGATAGAAATTCCATAGTTGTGTCAACATATAAGAACCCAATAGTATGTTTCTTGATATTTCTCTTGGCTACATAAAAACATTATAGAAAAATACTGTTGAACAGATTATGCAAAAATATTTATGCTTTCTGATTTGTAGCCATTGAAATGATAATACCAGAAATGATGTTCTGTTGTGTATTAAATTTATATGGTTTTAAGAGCTTTATAAGCTTTCTTTTTTCTTTTTATCTTGGCAAGAACTACCTAGTGTCAAAATTTCCCATTTGGAATTCAGAAGGTACTTTAACCTTCTTTAACAGTAGTTACAGTGCATGTATTCAATATGTGATTATGTATGTATCATGGAAGGCACATCATTTCCCATGAGAATTCCTCAATTCCACCAGATCCTTTAGAATGTCCTGAATGAAGCTTTTGTTTCTCACAAGGGCAAAAGTTGTTCTTAGACATTTCAGGAAATTTAATTGGATACTGTCTTTGAAAATTAAAGATCCTGACTATGCTACACAAATCTTTTTTCGGTATTCCTATACATCATAATCCTAACTGCTGATGCATAATCTTACTGCAGGGCAGTAAAGCCAGAGGTCCACTGGACAGTACTGGTGCTGTGGATTTGGACAGTTCTATATCCAGTTCCTTGAACAGCACACGTAAAGTAAGTAGTCTGGGGTGAATGTATATACTTGGAAACTTCAGGTAATATTCCCTGAAACAACTAGTCAGATGTGAAATGTGGTTACCAACCACTCATATAACTGTTCTGTTCTAAGATCTTGCATTTTGTTTTGATTATTTTTTGTGAGTAAGCAAGCTAATTGATTGTATGTGAAAGGAAATAAACCCTAGAGGAATCAAACAATATGATAAAAACAGTATCACAGAGTAGGGAGGTTAGGTATATCCTTTTCTTCCTACCTGCAAGAGTCCTTTTGCCACATGCTTATCCATAGAGTCCATCTTTATTCCTGTACCAAGTCCCTCTGAGGGTGACAGGACTGCATTCATTGCAGGCAGCCACTCGGATCAGTGACTGCCTTTCCCTTTACCCCATGTCATCCCTTCCTCACACTCTCCTGGCCTCCAGCTTGAAGCAGTATTTAAGTTTTTTAGAATTTGCTCATTTATCATCCAAATCATTTTTCATGTATGGAATTTGTCAGAATGTGTGCAAGTCCTGTGAGGGGTAGCTTGAGCAAGTTAACTTCCTGGTTTACTCTGGTAACAGACTTTCAGGCTAAGAAATAGCAGTCATGTCAATACAATGGTGACATGTAAGATGCTGTTATCTGTAGAGCTTCACTGGAGATTTCCGTACTGTTTGGCATGATGGGACTCTTAGTAAATCTGTGTTTCTGTTCTCCAGAAGTTTCAAGTTGCTTTCAGACTTTTCATTCTGTTCCCTATGCTATAAAAATAGAGCAGTGCAACTGGGTCTCTCTTTGAAATAGAAAAGCCATATTACTATAAATAAACATTTTTTTTATATATATATCTTACTATGTGAGTCTATATATGTGAAATAAAATATTATATAAATCATCTGAATCTTGCAAGAATGTGCAGTAAAATAAATGCAATAATTACCATGCTGCTGATCCTAATCTGGTTGGTTTCAGCCCTGGAAGTGCATAGTGTGAATGCAGCATTGCATTAATCAGAAACATAAAACTCAAATAAAAGGTCAAGTAATTTCCCCTTTTTGCATAGTCAGAAAGCTTTTAGTCCAAATAAAACAATATAAACAAGCAGCATAGAAGAAGACAGTCTTCTTCCATGGGGACAGCCTAGTACCCTGCAGGTTTGGATACAGCTGTTGATTTTTCTCTAGTGCCTCATCACCTATGGACTCCTGACTTCAGGTAGTCAAGAATCTATTCTTACTGCTTATGTTTTTGAAAGAATGGCCAGCTCTGCAAGAAACACATGAGGTGGTGAATGAAGAAAAATGCATGGTTTTGGACTGAAACAGGCATCTGGTCATAGGACTGTTATATTCTCAGATGGGGTGCAATCTCTATAGTACTCTGAAACATCACCCTTTTCATTGCTGTCACTGTTACCCAAATCTGACTCTTCTGTACTGTTCTGACCCCATTTCTTGAGCTGTATTTGACATACTGTAAAATACACTCTCAAAATAACTTTTCCTCTGTAAAATGGAGACTGTGATTTTTGACCTAAATAATTAATGACAAAGACATAAACCATCAAAGATTCTTTCTTTAGGCTATCATGATAAAACATGCAAGTTTAAAGCAGATCTCTGGGATGTGAATAATGATATGAGACTGCAACCTCAAAGATTGATAACTCTTGATAAGATTGATAACCTTATGTCTTGCACTGCTAGGAAGCACCATTGTGTGAAAAGGAGAAAGACAGACTTCCTGCGCTTCCTACAGAAAACACTGTCAAGACCAGCGGATCAGTGGGTGATCTCTCCAGCGATGCAGATGATTCCCCAATTGAGCAGTTACCTCAGCAAAGCTTTCGGAGGCGGGCAAACACACTGAGTCATTTGCCAACAGAAAGCCAGGAATCTCTGGTACCTGTTGAAACATCACCGTCTGTTCCCCAGAGGAAACTTATGAGGTATCACTCAGTGAGCACAGAGACTCCTCACAAAAGAAAGTAAGACTTACTAAAAGCAGGCTATGATTTTGTTTGTTGAGGACATATTTTGGGATGATAATTGCATACCAGGTATGTCCTCTTAATGGATAAGAAATACATCACAGCAGTGTGTCACACGCTGGAGGTTTGTAGGTATTCTCTTTAAAAACACTTTTAGCCCTGTGTACTCCTCAGGGGAGAGAAAACATAACATGTAGTTCCACAGTATAAGTGTAAGCACAACATAGGATTGCTCCTATGGGGTTTTATTATATTTTTTTCAAGCAATATTCCTTAATGTTGGTTGTTTAGCTCTGCAAGCAGCATAAAGAAATGCTACTTATTGTCTGTAGAGAAAACTCTGGTAGCATTTGTGATCCTGAAAACCTTACTAGTTGGTGAATTCATGTGTGACTTCACAATAATACAAAAACTGACATAAATTACCTAATTCTTGATGGAGGTGAGGCTCCTGTCTAACTTTTCAACAAGCCTATGTAGACTTTAGTCATAAAACCAAGTTACTGCTTGCCTTCATGCTAATATTCTTCAAACTGTCCTCCTTCAAAAGCCTGCCTCCGCATCTCTAAAGTCTCCTCTTAACTTCATGGCAGTTTTCTTTGCTCCCTGTATCTGGCTTTTCCCAATTACTATGGAAACACTCGGTCTGTAGGCTTCTGTTTGCCTGCCAAGATTCTTGTTTACACAAGTTAGACAGTAGGAAATCTGTATGTATTCCAGCTCATTTTTTCTCTGCAGGAGGTGGGGCAGTAAAAAAACATGCCTACAATAGGTGATGACAGTGAAAAAAGGAGAATTATAGTATTTGACATGAAACATGACCTGGGCTGCCTTTTTGTCCCTTCTTTGAACCTTTTTAATTCTAAAATACTAGAAGTTTTTTGTAGTGCAATTTAAGACCTGTAGTGTTTGTTGAGAGTTGCCCTGATGTTTGTAGCTGCTTGCTCAATCAATTCTTATTGTACTGTAGGAATGCAGCTAGAAATTAAGTACATTTTTAATTTCCTTGGTTACTTTTATTTGGGTTTGATCGTGTAATTTTTAGTAACACAGAGTGTACATGCTCCCTCACATAAAGCAAAAAGAAATCACCACTGCTTTCCTTTCTAGCAAATGTATAGAACCAGAGGAAATGGAAAACTTAGAAGAAAAGTATACTTAAAGTTCTCAAAAATCACTGGAATTACAGACTTTTAACGAGTCTTGTACATTTTATAAGTGTTTTTGAATAGCTTACCTCAATTCTTAAATTGTTTCCAAAGTGTAAGTGAATTCACTTCTTCATGTAGCATTTCACTTCTCATCCATTAGAGCTCTTGATCATATGCCTGGCTTTATCATAGAAACCAAGAGGAAGTGCATATGAGGGAGAAGAAAGGGGTGTGTCAGTGACAGGTTTTGGGGAGTTTAAATACAGTCATATGCTGAAATGCCTTGCTGAAGCCTGTAAGTGTGTATGTGGGACTTTGCTGATTCGGTTAAAATGTTCAGCCTCTTACACTTACTGCATTAACTATGAAAAACATAGGAACTGGCTCATTTGTATATGCCAGGTCTCTTTCAAAGATTAGAGAAGTGATTTCCCTTTTTATTTTTTTTTCTTCCCTTTTCCCCCTTTTTCCTTTCTTTCTTTGTTTTGTTCTTTGTGCTACCTCAACTCCATCACTGGTTGGAATCCCACTATACAGTTTGAACGCATCTGTTGGTGAATCTAAAAGTTCTTCTGGTCAACTTGCACGTTCTCCTACTCTAACTCGTCTTAACCCTTCGGCCTCTTCACCCAACTTCTTTAAATATCTAAGGCATAATTCAAGCGGAGAACAAAGTGGGCATTTTGCGCAAAAGAGGTGAGCTAGCTAGCATAGTCTGGGGAAGTGTTTGTTGTACCATGTCATAAATGTGAAGCTATAGTGTAAATAATTTAATATAGACCAAAGGTCGTAGGTTTTTATGAGAGAGGGGACTAACTGCTCCACTACTGAATGTAGAGCTGCTACCCATGTAATTTTTTTGTTTAATAAATGAAATTCTTTCAGACACATGGACACATAACTTGCTTTGGAAAAACTGGCTCTAAAGAAACTTGTTATGCAGCAGACAGCAGCACTACTTAAATTGTGTGAGGAATAAGTTGCCAAGAACCTGTGATTCAGCTCACTTTGTCCTTCCTGAATCATTTGGTTCTGTTCTGTTCTGTTTTGTTCATGATAACACACAAACATATTACTACTCTTTTGTGCCTGACATTAAGGACATATTGGCAAAGTTAAATAACTGGGGCAAGAAGTAGGACTGTGGAGAGCTGATACAAAGAAAACCCACAACCAAAAATCACAAACAGAAAAACACTTCCCCCAAAACCCAAACCCAAGAATAACCAATCAAAAAACCCCAACAACCAGCTTATGTATTTGTTTTGGTTACTTTGAGCAATATCAAATAATACTTTTCTGTGTCTCCTTTCTTAGAAATTCTTTACGCATAGAGAATGTTGAGCAAAGGACATTAACCCATCATTTCCCTGAAAATCTGGAACAAGTAGCTCCCTACTACTTGTAGGAAATGGGTTTCAGGGAAACCCATCATTTCCCTGAAAATCTTAACCATGCAACTCTTTCTTAAATCCCTTGAGCTAAAACTGTTTATTTTAGCTCAAAAGGCTAATGAGACCAAATGTCCTTGGAAGTGCTGTTAACAGTCATTGACCATTGGCAGGCAATTTTTATTGCTGTTGCTTATTGTTTGGTTTTGTTCTCTCAGGTGAAGGTTTCCTGTCTTCCCAAAGTGTTGATTCTTCTGACCGTGAGAAAATACTGAATTGAGAACCTTGTTTCCCTAGTTCCTTCAGGTATATTTGTGAACTAGCATCTCTTTAATTTAGCTTCACCTCAGAAGTATGGTGTAGGAAATGAGTTTACTTTACTCTTCATTTTAATAAGACTTACTTGAATCCTGAAGATTAAACTCTCAAAAGCAGATTTTTCCAAGTAGATTTGGTAATGATTCTGCATGCAGAGTAGCAACTTCTTCCCTTTCCCTGTCATTTAAGGGTATACCATATCAAACCTTTAAGAAACAAGACTGAAAATGGACATTTATAGGGATTATCAAATGGGTTAATGAGTTTAAGTCAATAAAGTCAAACTACCTAAGTTGATTGTATTCTGTAAGTGAAATTACCGTGTAATTGTGATGGATTTACAATATGATTTTAAGCAAAACCTCTTTGCAGGGCACACTGTGCTACAACCTTATCTCCTTCATGCTCAATGCCATCTGCTAAAGAACAGCTTCACTTCATAGTGCTTATCTCAGGGGATCTCCATCCCCCTCACATCTTCAGGAGACAGTGCTAAATGCCATCCAGATATATAATTTGTGGATTATCAGAAGCAGTTCTTTTTTAAACTTAGTTTTTCAGGAGTAAATTTTCCTACTCACATAGAATCATAGAATAGTTAGGGTTGGAAAGGACCTTAAGATCATCTAGTTCCAACCCCCCTGCCATGAACAGGGACATCTCACACTAAACCATGTCACCCAAGGCTCTGTCCAACCTGGCCTTGAACACTGCCAGGGATGGAGCATTCACAACTTCCTTAGGCAACTCTTCTGAGAAAAGGTCTTGTAGTATCATTAGCCAAATAATATTATATCTTTTAATTCCCTGCAAAGCCTGTTCATTATCTGAATTGCTCTCACTTCCATCTGTTGGCATTCTCTGAGCATGCTGGGGGCTTGTTCACAGAATCATAGAATAGTTAGGGTTGGAAAGGACCTTAAGATCATCTAGTTCCAACCCCCCTGTCATGGGCAGGGACACCTCACACTAAACCATATCACCCAAGGCCTCGTCCAACCTGGTCTTGAACACTGCCAGGGATGGAGCATTCACAACCTCCCTGGGCAACCTATTCCAGTGCCTCACCACCCGAACAGGAAAGAATTTCCTCCTTATATCCAATCTAAACTTCCCCTGTTTAAGTTTGAACCCATTACCCCTCGTCCTATCACTACAGTCCCTAATGAAGAGTCCCTCCCCAGCATCCTTATAGCCCCCCTTCAGATACTAGAAGGCTGCTATGAGGTCTCCATGCAGCCTTCTCTTCCCCAGGCTGAACAGCCCCAACTTCCTCAGCCTGTCTTCATAAGGGAGGTGCTCCAGTCCCCTGATCATCCTCATGGCCCTTCTCTGGACTTGTTCCAACAGTTCCATGTCCTTTTTATGTTGAGGACACCAGAACTGCACACAGTACTCCAGGTGAGGTCTCACGAGAGCAGAGTAGCGGGGCAGGATCACCTCCTTCGACCTGCTGGTCACGCTTCTTTTGATGCAGCCCAGGATACGGTTGGCTTTCTGGGCTGCGAGCGCACACTGCCGGCTCATGTTCATTTTCTCATCAACCAACACCCCCAAGTCCTTCTCTGCAGGGCTGCTCTGAATCTCTTCTCTGCCCAACCTGTAGCTGTGCCTGGGATTGCTCTGGCCCAGGTGTAGGACCTTGCACTCGGCATGGTTAAACCTCATGAGGTTGGCATCAGCCCACCTCACAAGTGTGTCAAGGTCCCTCTGTATGGCATTCCTTACCTCCAGCATATGAACCGAACCACACAGCTTGGTGTCATCAGCAAACTTGCTGAGGGCGCACTCAATCCCACTGTCCCTGTCAGCAACGAAGATGTTAAACAAGACCGGTCCCAACACCGATCCCTGAGGGACGCCGCTCATTACTGGTCTCCAGCCGGACATTGAGCCATTGACCACAACACTTTGTGTGTGGCCATCCAGCCAGTTCTTTATCCACCGAGTAGTCCATCTATCAGATTGATGTCTCCAATTTAGGGACAAGGATGTCGTGTGGGACAGTGTCGAACGCTTTGCACAAGTCCAGGTAGATGACATCAACTGCTCTATTGCTGTCCATCAGTTCTGTAGCCCCATCATAGAAGGCCACCAAATTGGCCAGGCAGGATTTCCCCTTAGTGAAGCCATGCTGGCTGTCACCAAGCACCTTGTTGATTTTCATGTGCCTTAGCATGCCATCCAGGAGAATCTGCTCCAAGATTTTGCCTGGCACAGAGGTGAGACTGACTGGTCTGTAATTCCCCGGGTCATCCATTTTCTCCTTCTTGGAAATGGGAGTTATATTTCCCTTTTTTTGGTTGTTGGGAACTTCACCTGACTGCCATGACTTTTCAAATATGATGGCCAGCGGCTTCGCAACTTCATTCGCCAGCTCCTTCAGGACCCGTGGATGGATTTCATCAGGACCCATGCACTTGTGCACATTCAGATTTTTAAGATGGTCTCGAACCAGTTCCTCTCCTACAGTGGGCCCAAGGTCTTCATTCTCACAGTCCCTGCATCTGCCTTCCAAGACTTGGGTGGTGTGGTCAGAGCCTTTGGCAGTGAAGACCGAGGCAAAGAAGTCATTCAGAACCTCAGCCTTCTCCAAATCCTGTGTAGCCAGTTCTCCTGAGAGCTTCCTGAGGGGGCCTACATTCTCCCTAGTCTGTTTTTTATTTGCTATGTACCTGTAGAATCCCTTCCTGTTATCCTTAATACAGCTAGCCAAGTTTAATTCTAACTGGGCCTTAGCTTTCCTAACCTGGTCCCTGACTTCCCAGACAACATCCCTGTATTCTTCCCATGCCACCTGTCCTTGCTTCCACCTTTTATAAGCCTCTTTTTTCAATTGAATTTTCCTCAGGAGCTCCTTATCCCTCCAAGGAGGTCTCCTGGCCCTCCTGCTGCACTTCCTTCTGGTTGGGATGCAACACTCCTGAGCTTGCAGCAGGTGATCCTTGAATATCAACCAAGAGTCTTGGGCCCCCCTGCCCTCTAGGGCTATATCCCATGGAAGCTTCCTAAGCAGGTTCCTGAAGAGGCCAAAGTCTGCTGTCTTGAAGTCCAGGGCAGTGAGCTTGCTGCACGCTCTTCTTGCTCTCCTGAGGATCTCAAATTCGAGCATCTCATGATCGCTGCATCCAAGGCTGCCCTGGAGAGTCACATTTCCAACGAGCCCTTCCCTGTTGGTAAGCACGAGGTCAAGCATGGCACCTCTCCTTGTTGGCTCCTCTATTACTTGCAGAAGGAAGTTGTCTTCTACACAATCGAGGAACCTCCTGGATTGCTTGTGCCGGGCCGTACCGTCCTTCCAACAGATGTCAGGGTGGTTGAAGTCACCCATGAGAACAAGGGCCTGCGAGCGTGAGGCTTTTCCTATCTGTCTATGGAGTGCTTCATCCGCAGGTTCTCCTTGATCAGGCGGTCTGTAACAGATCCCCACAGTAATGTCTCCCATAGCTATACTCCCTTTAACCCTGACCCACAAACTCTCTGTGGACTGCTCACCTGTCCCCAGACAGAGTTCCATACTCTCCAGCCTATCCCTAACATAAAGAGCAACTCCCCCTCCTCTCCTGCCAGGCCTGTCTTTTCTAAAAAGCCTGTAACCTTCCATTCCAGCACTCCATTCATAAGAGCCATATATCATACCCCTGTAGACATGCACACATCTCTAATTCCTCTTGTTTGTTCTTGTTTGTTATTTTAAAAGAGAGCAACATTATGTTGGCCAGAAGTCTGCTGATGAAATTTGATTAGTGCTCCTGTCTGTTGCATAAATACAGCCACAGTGCTAAATGGTCAGTCAGAAGGCTCAACTTTTAACTTAAAAGTTCCAAGCTTGTCTGTTAACGCTTCGCAGAATGTTTTTTGCCAAAGTCTTAGTTTTCATTTGCCACTACAATGATTATCAGTGTCAGCTTTTCCTAACCTTTTCCCCCCAGCTTAGTCATTGAAACTGGTATCTAAGTAAATGTGCAATGATAAAGTTGGCATCAGTTCTGATTAGATTAAAGGAATTTACTTAAGCATGCACTAAGTATCTTAGAATACAGCAAAAATAATAACTTTACTTGAAGTACATTTATTTATATTGGAACATTTTAGTTTGCTCAAACAAATATGTATTTCAAAGTAGCACATTATTAGCAGTTTCAGTTTTGGCTTTGGTTTCCTTGATATTCAGGCCTTCAGGATTAAGCTGCTTTTTGTTTGAAACTTAGAAGTATGTATTATTTTTATTCTGTGGATTTATACTTCTTTATTCTAAACTATACTTTTCCCAACTGCACTCTCAGCATCTCCTACCGTACTGCCTTAAGGAAAAAGCTTCATTCTTCTTCTTCTGTGCCAAATTTCTTAAAATTTCTGGCTCCTGTAGATGAAAATAACACCTCTGACTTTAGGAGCACAAGGTAGGGTTCTCTCTTAAAGCCTGCAGGTAAAACTGTTTTCAGAAGTTTCTTTCAACTATTTCAAATGCTTCTTGCACTTGCAAAATGTGATTTGTGCAACAGTTCCCTTGCACATATTCTGCATGTGATTGCTGTCAAAAGGGTGGAGCTGTACCAGACTCCTTTCCCATTATGGTTGCACAACTTAGCCATTTTGATGTTATAATGATCCTGCAACTTCCACCTATGCACTTCAGTGATTATTCCTGCCAAAGCATTGTATTAGCAGTTTTCAGTTAAGAGAATATACGTGGTTCATCCTAAGTAGGATGGAATAAGCAATGAATAGTTTAAAGGTGTAACAACTGGAAGTTACTAATGGGATTTTTAATAGGGAAACAGCATTGCTGTTCACTATTTTGTTTAATATTCTGAATACAAAGCTTTGTATGTAGTTTGTAGATTACACCAAATGAGTAACATACAAGGTTCCTAAACATTATTCCAAAGGTTGTTGTCTATTTCAAATGGTGACTTGTGAACACAAAGGGCAAAAGTTTTGCTCCAAGTCTGTGTTGTGGATATTACATACCCAGTTCACACAAGGTTGCAAGTTTGGTTGGTGTTTATAAAGCTCCTTGATATATGCTGATAAAAGGTATCAACAGTTCTTTGTGCCTCCTATGAATAATTACTAGATTTTCTTGATGGCATTTAAATAGAGTGGTAAAAATACATTATAGTGTATGTGTCTTTAATGCATTGGGTTTGCTGCAAAGAAAGCTGAGAATTGATTAAAACTAGAGAAGAGCTGCCAGGCCCTTTTGGTGAACCTGTGTGATGTTTGTAGCCTTGTATAAATCTGCTGCCACAAAGCAAGCTTCACTTAGCTAACACAAAGAGCTTGACCCAGCATGTGCACAGCACCCTGCACTCTGTAGTTGATGGTCACTGTTGTTACATTCACTGAAGACTGTGTCACTGTTGATAGCAGATTCAGGCAAACTACTCACAAGCCATTCTGTGTTCACTGTTTTAGTGACTATGAATCTAAACACAGCCAGCAGGCCATTGGTGAGGACAGCCCTGTAAGGACACGACGGCATTCATGGAGGCAACAGATATTCCTGCGAGTGGCAACCCCTCAGAAAGCATGTGATTCTCCCAGTCGATATGATGGTAAAGTCTGTGTTTATTTGCTTCCATGAATGTTGTCAGTGGAGATAGTGTGGATCATTTTGTCTACTGAGCAGAAAAATTTCCCTGGTGCTTTGTTTGTGCTGTCTTTGCACTTTCCCACCTACTCTTTGGTCAAGCCAAGCTCATCAGCTGTTGAGGCTTTTAGTTTTCAGCTTTGTATGTAACATAGTTTCAAAGTTGTGTCAAATTAACTAACTGGAGGAGAAATTATTTTTGTTTGTACTGTTTTAATGAGTTCTGGGTTTAAAAAAAAGCATCACCAAGTATTGCTCTGAAGAAAAGGTGAGGCTTCTGTTTCATCTCGCCATGCTGCAATATAGAACTCTGGACTAGAAAAGTCCTGGCCTAGCAGAAGGAATTAAATTTCTTTTACGACCTCAGTTGAGTTCTGTAAAGTGTACTTCATACCAGACTGAATTTGACCACATGTATGCTGCTCCACTCTGTGACTTTTGCCACTTGAGCAATAGTTATCCACTGTTCTCATATTTATCTCCTGAAATTCTGTAAAGCTTAAGAACCGCAGACTAGACAAAAATCGCTTCACATGAAAGTGCAGGTGCGACATTTTATGCTTCTCACTGAGCCAGGTACTACAGCACATGCTGAGGCCAAGAATACCTCAGAGAAGCTTGTGTCTGTAGATAATGGTCTCTGGCTCATTAAAGCTTGAATTTCGCAGCTTGAGCTCTGCAAGCTTTACCTCCTTCTTGCATCTTAAAGAGAGACTTTGATTAACTGGACACAGCATATAACACAAATGTTGTTAATGTAATGCTTGCAATGTAATTTGACTGATGTTGGGGAAGCTGTGTATGGGCATAGATGCCTCTTAAATTTAGTGTATTTCAGAATGAAGTGATCTCCAGAGCATGTTGTGTAAATACACTTTAAATGCTCCCCTATACTGCAAGGCATGTGAGGGATCGACCTCAAGCCATTCTGTGAAGCTAGTGATTTTGCTGATTTGATGCATCTTTTTGTGACTGGAAGTAGTCTCACTTGTTTTTGAAAGCCACAAAACTTTCCCATATTAAATAGGAAAAAAAAATACCAAAAATTGCCTATCAAAGCATTTCCTCTGAGACATAATAGCTGCAAGATACAATCTTAACAACCTGCAGCTGGATCAGCAGAATAGTTGGAGAAACAAGTGTGGCCAAAAAGAAAACAGGACGTACTATTAATAGAAGGAGCAATTTAAATATCTGGCCTTTTTCTTTACTGTTGTTTTCTTTTTCTGTTTTTGTTCCAATGTATATATTCAATTTATGAACCTGGAGAGAAAACTCAGAGTTAGGTTTTCTTTATTACTTTATTTTATTATTATTTATAACAAGTATGGGGTTTTCTGTTTGGGTTTTCATGCATCCTGGAACATTTCTGGCAGTGAAGAACACTTACTCATGTTCCAGCCTTTGTAGCCTTTAAGAGAGCTGCTATACAGATGATCTTACTTTGGACTCACCACCACAGTTAACTTAGTGACCTCTGTAGTTCCAAATTAAATGTAACTATCATTCATCGTCTTGTTCCTCTTTCTTTGGTACTCTCTCCAAGGAGAAGCAGCACATACATTGGAGTTTATTGATTTTATAAGTTACCTGTACTTTTAGTCTTTCTCGCTCTTTTTATCTTGATTTCCTTTGGAAACAGAAATTATGCAAACAGCTGATGTATCACCAAAAGACCGATTTCAGACCAGTTGAATAGAGGGCAAAGGTTTTCAAGATGATGTTATATAACATGTTCTGCAAACATATAAAGACTAAAGAGAGGGAAACAAGGGAACATTATGAGTTTCCCTTTATAGACTGACTCCAGTGACCAATTTCTCCATTCAGGTGCAGTAGTCCATACACACATCCAACTTTTAATTTTGTACACACAGGAAGATCTAGATCCCCGTATTTATGATTTGTATAGGCAAGTGGTGAGATAGATCTCAAAATGGATTGTGTTCGTTGCCACTCTGTGTAGTTAACGCAGCAGGATGAGGTGTATTCACTAAAATTTTGGGGTTTTTTTAAAGCAAAACCCAGACAACTGGTACATAGCTTTGGCTGAAATTTTGAGGTTAATCTTATGAGGTTCTGAACTTTGGAAATGTCTGGTGTCCTGAGTTCTCACATGAAGCTGACAACACTTTGAGTCCCACTGTCCTGCACTTCTGGATCCTTTACTTGTTTAGGATCCAGATATTTGAGCTAAAACTTATTTCCTAAAGCTCAGCTGGAAAGAAATGATTGCTGGCAGTGCTTTGGTGGTTGCATTGTGTATACTAGGCAGAGGTCATGCTGGTTTTTTTGCAGACACCATTATTTAAAAGGAGAGGTTTATTGTACATGGAAGAAGGTGTTCAGGAATGTAGTAAAATGAAAACCAGTTCTAAATCAGTAGGATATTAAAAAAAAAAAAAAGTATTGCTAATAGATACACTAGAAAGCCATTTTTGTCTTGACAGTTGAGATTCCTGCCTTACTTGAAGACTGGACTCAGTCCAGCTGCACTTGGGCAAGATGAGCAAGCACAACAGAAAGCCTCAGATTTAGGAGACTGTTACTTTTGGTTGTTACGGGAGCGATGACCCAAGTGCAGGTCCTCCTTCAGCCACCTCCTGCTTGTGGATGCTACCAGTTTCCCCTTTCCCTGCTATTTTTCCTTGCTTCTGTACATAACTTTACAATGAAACACATGATTTTGCATTTTTTGCATTATGCAATTTGCTGCCTGGCAGGACAGCCAGGTGATGTCTCGTGAACCTGAAGAGGAGGCTGATCTCCAGTTTGGAGATCTGGAAAGGATTTTCTGCATAGGTGAAATGTTCAGTGGAGATTTTTATTTTTTTTCCAGCTGGCAGCTGGATGTTTGCAGGGTTGAATTATGGTAGCTCTGTTGTAGCAAGCTACAGTTCAAATGTCCAACCTCACCTCCTGCTGTTTGCCACTTCCCATGGAATGGTTGTGCTGCTGTGGGTGGTGTGGAACACAGCGGGGAAGCATTTCTCTCACGGCCACACCACCGCCTTGAGACATACTCAGTGTCTTGTCCTCTGGTATTTTTCTTTTTTGTTTATTTGTGGGGTAGAATTAGTGTTGTATCCTGCAAAGTGGAAAGACAAAGAGGAGCACAGGTCACTTGCAAAATGGATCACATTTGATGTGTTACAATTCTATATTTCTTTTGAAAGAAGGTTTTTGTTAATCTCTTTATCTGAAGTTTTTTTTACCTGTTTTCTGTATGAGTGCACAAAAGTCACTCTGGATGTCCCACTCACTGTCTAAAACATTCAAAGTAATAAAAGTGTTTCGTCAGTTCTTTGATTTTTACCTTTATACCTGCCCATCCTACTTGCAGCCGGATCATCATACCTCTAGAGTCTTTCTAACAAGATCCACATTTTGTGGCTATGCAAATGGTTTAGGACATCCTAGTTCTCTGTCTTCATTGTTAAAATGGGAAAGGAGCAGCTTGGTGGTTATTTTAAGCCAGCTGAAGTATGAGCTTACTCAGAAATGGTAGTTAGTTTTCAGTTGGATCAGTTTTCTAGTCCCACTCCTGGTATTACACAAACACTAGAGCAGGCACAGGGAGGCAAAGAGGGACACATTCAGGGAAGCTGAAGGTGAGTGCTCTTACCCTGCTCAGAAGCAGGACACACTTAGATCACTGCAGAGTGATCACAAAACTTCACCTTGCGCTGCAATGCAGCATACTTCTATTCAGCATCTACAAATCTCTGTGCAGTGGACTATTTTCACTACAATTTTCACATATTGACTGTTCAGAATTTGTCATAGTGGGAGAACTGTTTTGCAGGTTGTCAGAAACTCCCAGCAGGGTAAAGTCAAGTACTAGATTTAAAGAGGGTGTGAACAGGTTCCTGAAGTAAGTGGTGGGAAAGTGATGATGTTTGTCATGAGCTGCAGGATGTTGGTGGCATAGACAGCAAGATTTTTAAAACAGCAGTGTCAGTTCTAGAATGGATGATTTGTTTCAAAGGTGGACAGTGGGTTGGAGTTACATGTTGGACAGTGAAAAATTGCAATTCAGAGGAATGAGATGCTGTTACATGACTGTGGAGATTCACTTGTTTGTTTGCCAAGCTGAATTTTGTAACGTTTAAAATGCAACAAAGAAAAATAGTGTAAAGCAGAAAACAAAATGCTTAACGGAATTCTTCTATCCACATTCTTGCCATATCTTGCTTGATTTCTTAACCTTGGAGAGCAGTTGTGACTGGTAAACACTGCATTTAGAGAGCCATCTATAAACAACTTGTAGTTGGGATGGCGATAGTGCATTATATTTGAGCCTCCTCCCTTTTAGCTTCCTATAAAAATAAAACAAGCCCTTTTTTTCTGCATGAAGTGGTGCATTTTCTAGTCAAAGATGAATCTTGTTATCTTGGTTTTGGTATTTGAGGTTGGTTAGACTGAGTGCTTCTGGAAGAATGTTTTTAAAATTAATGAAATTTCCTGTTCATATCATTACCAGTCAAATATTGTGTAATGAGTACTGCAGTCATTCACCAAGCTTTATTTAGTGTGGTGCCTGGTAATATACTGTGATACTTTCTTCATAATCTTTGTATTTTGTTTTGTGTGTTGTCTTTGCATGTGAGAATTTTGTGTAATACAAAAATTCTGTAGCTTGCAGATGTATCATATATGAGGTAGAATTTTATATGGAAGCTGCAGGGAAAGGAGCAACATATTTGAAAGGAGTACAGGTCAAATGTGGAACAGGAGTCAACAAAAGTTGACGAGGTTGGCAGATGAACAGGGAAGCAGTCTTTCCATGTGTGCTGAAGTGTTCAGGTCCTGCTGAAGTACGCTTACTAATCTCATTAAAGTTTTGAAGGCTGAGCATTACTTGGATTTAAACGCATGGCAGTGTGAGTCAGTGGGATGTGAACTCCCAGTTATGTTCAGTTGAATGGCTCTACTATTTATCTTTGCTTTCTCTGCTACCTTCCAGATCATTTGTGCATAATAATGAAATATTCAGTTTCTTGTTACAGTATTTCTACTCGTATCTCGATCTGGAAGCTCGGTGGCATGTCTGTCCATCACTTTGTTGTATACCCATGAAACATGGGTTTGTGTCTGGAGTTTTACTTTGCTTTGAGGGTTTACCTGCACATTCCACCTCCCCCACTCCTTTACCAGTCAAACAGCTGATGCAACTCTGCAAACTTTAGACAGGCCACCTGAGCAGTTAAACAGGTTCATTTTGGTTTCTATACATCCTGCCACATGCCAGCATGGAGATGGGAGGGAAGGAAAGTTGTAAATGTGTTGCAGTTTATCAAAGTAGACTTTAGACTTTCTGTCAAATGTCCATGAGTGGTAAGACGGAAAGAAAAGATAGAAAAGGAGCTGCAATTTGGAAGGCAAGATCAAGTCTAGGACTCTTCTACAGAGGAATCAGAGGTAGGGTTGATAATCATAATTGCTCAGCCTATAGAATTTTGTAATCTTTCTGTTTTCTTTTATAGCCTTAAGCATCGTGGGTTAAATTTCTTTTAGTGAAGTGATCTTATCAGGTTAGTCAGTAATGGACAAGAAATTTTCAGCCTAAGTGGAAGAAGGACCATGGTCTTAAGTAATTAATGCTTCGCAGTGGTTCAGGTGTTGCCACAGTCAGTGGAGGACGATAAGTGAGTAATATCTCTGATAAATTAGAAGGTGATCTTTTGTCAAGTTGATACAAGAAAAGCAATCCACAAAATTTGCACTGGAAAAGTAGAATGTGTATGTTAAAACCAGGAACATTCTAGGAATGCAATGTGTTTAATTCATTTGCTTGCATCTGTTTTGCCAGCCTGTTGGGTTTTGGTTTGGTTTGATTTTTTTGTTTGGTTTGGTTTGGTTCTTTTGCTAGTAGGTAACCCTAAACTGTCTCTGTAGGTAGTCTAATATTTTCTAACACATGTGTATATATACATACCTAAAACCAGAATACAGTCTGACTCTAAAAGAGATCCATAAACCACTGAGGCCATGTTTAGGTTGAGAAGAGATTTGTTTCTCCCAAGATATACGTGCATTCTGTATTGGATGCTTTGAGAATGTAACAAGAACTGAATAGACTTAGTGTACAGTAGACAAAGTGATCCAAATAAGAATACTTTTTACTTTTTGCATTGATGTTTGGTGACCGTTTTCATTAATTCCTCTTTTCTTATGGCAATGTTATTTTGTGCATGTAATGCAGCCTTAGAGGAATTCTCTTGATGATGGTGGTCTTATTTTTTTAACTTTAATGTTTTATTCAAGCAAACGAAGCTGGTTCTAAGAGCATTTTCCTTATAATGGTATGTAAAATTCACTAAGGAGAATTGGGATGAAAGCGACTATATGTAGTCATTCTACATAAACATATGTAGAACATTATTGACAGTATAGTGTATGCCTCAAAAACAATCAAAATAATTTTCCTTTTGCTGTCAACACAAGTTGAGAATTATCAAGTGTGTGTTCCTTCTTTATTTGATGACATTTACCTAAACCTCTTTCATAATTGTAGATCTTAGCTCACAGAAGTCTTTCCATTTACCTGTAAAGAAAAAGAAAAATAAATTAATGCATCCCAGTTTCTTATAAGGGATATAATATAGTTTCTTCATTGTATGGATATTTCTCATAACCAGCTGTGTTTTTTAATGCATTTGTCAGAGTTTCCTACTTCTCTTTGCAGCAAATGGTGATGGCCATTAAAGTGTCAAATGTTTGTCCTTGACCTAATTCTTCTTCCTGTCCAGTTTGCTGTTCTCTGAAATGCAGTAAATACCCAAAGTGTGGGTATCTGCACTTATATCCAGAGTCCACATTTTTAAAGGTTTAATTTGTTTTGCTAGCTGAAAATGTTGCATTTTTATATGCATATTTTAGCTCTTGAATTAAACTGTGGTAATAAGCAAATAAATGTTGCATAAGGAAATAGGTGGTATTTGGAGCCACCCTATTTATCTATGACTCCTTGAGAGGAAAAGATTGAAAGTGGCAAAACTGAGAAAAACAGAAGCCAACAGCTGTGAACGTTTCCATTCTTATTTAGTCATCTGAGCTCAGTTGTGTGAGTGCCTTTGAAGAAACAAGAAAAGAATAGCTCCGTATGAACCTTGTGACTTAATATATGGCATAGCATTCTGAGCAGAATTTGAAGGGGTGAAAACCTTCCTATTTTGTTAATTTGCAGAAATGAGATAATGTGTGTGTTTAATTCAAAATCTTTATCACTGTGCAAGGCAATGATAAAGAAATGGACCTCTGAGCTACCATCAGAATAGTTGTTTAAGGAATGCTCCTTCTCCAGGAGCTATTTGACATTGCATGCACAGATGTACTTGTCCTTGGCTGGAGAATCTGGGGAATGGTTTTTGTTGCATTAATTTTAAAGCATTTTCTTGTATGGATAACTGGTCAGCTTGTCTTTGGAAGATGTTTCACAGCCATTCTGTTGGGCTGAAGGAGAAGTGCTGTTGTGGTAGCTTTCCACTGGGATTTGGTAGGAAGAGATGGGTGGTTTTGACCATTCATTTTGAAGGTGGTGCATCAAGTAATTTTTCTTCTAGATACAAGTTACATCAAAGATTAGTGAGCAGTCAGAGTTTTATAAATCAGTAAAATTAAGAGGTACTACAGCAGCCATTAAGAACACAAAGTATAAGAACTTATGCTTTGTGTTGAAAACTTGATTGAAAACTATGTCGTTTGCCCTTTCCCTAAAGATTTTTAAATTTGCTTGAAATTTACTTAATGTTTACTTTCTTTTGTACTGTTTTCAGTCTTAGAATTACCCTACCTACATGACAAAAAAGATATATTTTGTGGTATACCAGCTGAAGCCAAAAGAAAAAGTGCAAAAGGTTAGGTTATGATTAAAAATTAGAAGTGAGAGCAAACATGTCTTAGGTGCCTGTCTCCTTTTCTGCATGTTTGCTTTTAGATCTATTAATCATCCCAGTGAATGGCCTTAGGTGGTGGTGTGTTTGTGTAGCTAAGGGTGTGTGTTTTCTTTGTTAAGCAGTTTAGAAATGATTCTTTAAATTATGTGGTTGCTATATTTGATTTGAATCATGCCAGATTTCAGCTGTAGGTTTTATTTTTGCAGTTTCTCAAACTTGCCTTTTCCATTTAGTTCTCCCTTGTAAAGCTGTAATAAGTAAGCCATGGTTCGTGTATGGTATAGTGTTTTTATCAGGTTCCAGAAAAAAAAATGTTCCAGGCTTTGGCCAATATGATTTTTACCCAAAAGAAGCTTCTAAATCTGCTTGAAACGGTCATTTGGTAAACCTTGCTTAGACTTGCTACCTCTTAGATATGTACGTGTATATGTGTGTATATAAGTAGATACATGCACACATACATTTGTGTATATATATGCAGTCTTTCAAAATGTGTCCCTTCACCTGATCATGAAATCTAAGTAGTTCACAACAGTTTCTCCCTTTTAAAGATTACTCCGAACTGGGAGAACTTCCACCCAGATCCCCATTGGAACCAGTGTGTGAAGATGGCCCCTTTGGGCCAGTGAAAGAAGAAAGGAAACGGACACCCCGTGAGCTTCGTGAGTTGTGGAAGAAAGCTATTATTCAGCAGATACTTCTTCTTAGAATGGAGAAAGAAAACCAGAAGTTACAAGGTTGGTGCACCCTACTGCAATAGAGGTTAACCTTTTCATTTGCTCTGTGGCCTTGGCAGTGGATTGGACCATGCCTTAATGAAATGTTTTAGGAACGTACAGTTTAACAGCATCTCCCTCAGTTCCCGTTAGTGTAGGTGACGATTTACACTCATTTTTTCATCACTGCATCTTATTATTTGTTTACTTGATCTGAATTGGTACTCTTAGTTTTACCACAGCTGAGTTTTTTTAGGCTGGTGTCAAGAAGCTTTGGCAAGGAATTCAGCACAGTAAAGTTCTGCATTTGCATCCATAGTCATTGTCAGAGTATTGGTCATGGCAGTGTTCTGTTTAGCTTTCGTCTTGAAGTTCTCAAGGAGCTGATTGTGGACTTGAAACTATGGGTGCCTGCTGTAGTGTACACATTGTGCAAGCAAGGTTTGCATGGAGTAGTAATGGTTTAGATCAGTCATAAAGATGATAAGGAGCTTGAGAAACTATAACTTGGAGGTTTTTTTTAACACAAATCTGTTGTGACTATTTTTGCATATAAAATGTAGCTGATTAAGAATACATGTTTTATTGTGGCGGCTGCATACAGAATCACAAGTGATTGTGCTGGAGAGCTGCTCTTTTGAGGATGTGAAGGATAGGGAGAGAAATGTTTATCTGGCTCATTTTAGATGTCCAGGAAGGGAGTAAGCACCTGGATCCTCAAGGGGGTGAGGTACCTGGCCTGAAAATGGCAATTCTTCTTTGCCTTTGTGAAAACTTGAGAAAGGATTGTCTTCCAGGAAGAACAACTGTGTACACAAAGGGCCCAGCCATGTGAAAATATCAGTATACCAAACGTGAAGTCCTTCTTTCAACTTAGGCTAAGAGTCCTGGCTGGAAGGAGAGAACACCTCTCTCAAACATTGGATGTGGCCTCCCAGAACACTTAGCCCATTTGTAGGCTCCTGGCAGTGTAGCTTTTCTGTTTCAACCCTGATATCTAAACACCTTATATCTGAGTTTCCTGAGAATCCCACAGGTGACAGGCATGTTCCCAGCAAATGCTGGAACTGCTAATCCAGTAAAATAAAGTATGGCAATGGATACCACATACACAGTGCCTTTGGCTAAGGGGCCATCTAGAGAAAGAGGTTCTGAAAGCAAAGATATATACAATCAGATCAGCTTAGAGCTGTGAAGAAATTTTTCCTAATATCCAATCTAATCTAAACTAACTTCTAAAATTTGGAATCAACACTGAGCTACAGAGTTAATTTTTATTTTTGCCGTGATTCTTTGATGCTTTCCCAGCTGTTGCCCTTTTTTTTTTAATCCCTTATACGTAACATGTGGAAATACAATGCAGTGTTCTTATAAATTGTAATCTGACAAGATCACCAACACTACAGTGCATCTCTGCTCCAGGAGCTCTGCTGATCTAAAATGTCTTATTTAAGACTGATTTATGCATTGACCTTTCTGCTGATTTCTTCATTGGAGATATTAAGAAGCTCTCATGAATACATTGTGTTCAGGGTTCTGAAGTTTTCTGTACTTGAACTTTGCTTTTGATGTAGTCTGTAAAAATGGATGTATGAATGATCACCTTTAAATTTTTTTTTTTATTTTTTATTTTTTTTTAGCTTGCCATTACTGTTATGGAGCTGCATGGATAAGAAATAGACGACTGTATTGGTTGTGTATTTTTATGTGGTGTAGGTCTTCTGCACTAGTTTTTTCTTTTAACAGCTGGGAAATTGAAAAATCCTGTTGGGAAAATCTTGCATTTATTTTATTATTTTGTCCTATCACTACAGTCCCTGATGAAGAGTCCCTCTCTGGCACCCTTCTAGGCCTCCAATGTCCAAGTTAAATTAACACGTTACAAATAGTAAACAATATTAACTGGTGCGTTCAATTTATCACTTCCTAGCTTCAGAAAACAATTTGCAGAACAGACGTCTGAAACTTGATTATGAAGAAATCACACCATGCTTAAAAGAGGTAACTTTGATTTGGGAAAAAATGCTGAGTACACCTGGAAGGTCAAAGATTAAATTTGATGTGGAAAAAATACACTCTGCTGTGGGGCAAGGTAAGCACAGTTTGCTATTCTGAGTTGTGTAAATGCACTTAAATTGTGTTAGAAAATGAATAGCATGACCTCTTAACCACTCCTTATAACCAGATTCTCCCTAAAGCTGTTCTTCAGGCTGCTGACTAAACAAGTAACAATGTTGGATATCTTCATGGTTATGCGTATGTAAGTAACAGCTCCTTTCAGAGGTAGCTGCAATTCTGTTACTGGAGTTACTAGACTTGGTATTCAGTTTTGAATTAAATTTGATTTTATAAATTAAAAGTTATCATTAAAGAAGAAAGCCTGGATAATGCCAAAGAAATGACTGTGTAAATAACTGAGGAAACTGCACTACTATATGGAAATTCTCTGTTCCAGCCTGGGTAGTGTGCATGTATACAAATAGTATACATGGATATCTCTGTAGAACTGCCTTTCTTCCTTCAAATTCAGCAACGCATTGTACCTGCAAGCACCACCTACAGTCTTCCTCACAGCTGCAGGGCTGAGGAGCCATCCTCTTTCCACTGCGTCAAAAATAATGTAACCTACGGATAGTTTTAAATATGCTATGAAATTAGAACATTTGAGTAATAACATTATTACTCAATGTTATTTATGCCATGGTTGGATCCAAAGGCATTATGCTGAGTGCTGTATGTAGCCAATGGGGAAGATGGCTACTCCAAGGAGTTTTTCATAGTTCTAAACAAAGCTTTCCAACATGCAATGGAAGTGTCAAGAATGCACCTGCCTATATAGTTATTCATCAAGTTAAATCAAATTGTCCATTTAAAATAGTTAGCACATCTAGATTTCCAACAGTACTAAATGCCCTAAGCACAAACCGCTGCAGAGTGAGGGAAACTCATCACAGGTTTCTCCCATTAATGTAGGTAAAGGGCTCTGTTGAGTCAGTGTGTGAGAGTGAGAAAAACTTGGTTTCTGTTAATAGTCCAGTGATGCTGGCCTATGTTACAGTTCAAAACAAAACTTAAAAAACTCAGAATGATGCAAAATAAATAGATAAATAAAGCACTACATAGTAGATTGCTAATGAGATGCACATACAAGTAGCCAGTTGGTTATCTCTAGCTCTTACATAGCTATTACTATGCTCTGCTCTCTAAAGCCCAGTTATGTCAGAGTTCTTAGAGTGATGTCAAATTTCATACATATGCAGAAATGAAAAATGCATTTAAATTGAGTTTAGGAAGTTCTCGTTTAGACCAAAACCATTCAAAGTAACGTGAGTAATCAAGGCAAACAGGTAAGAATTGCAGGTTTCAGTTAGCATGGGGCTTAAATTAGGGTAACAATATATAGAGAAAGAAATTCAATCTTTAAAACATTTTTACATGTAGAAGTCATTCAGCAAACCACTACAAATATACAAAAAAACTACAAATATAATACTTGCTTTCTGATTATCTGCTTTCTGTTGTAGTCTAGATCACATCTCATTTGTACTTGTTTATGCTTCTGGTATGTGTGCATTCTGCCATCCTAAAACTTACTCCTAACAACACTGTCAGTGCTGTATTAGTGAAAAAAAATAGTTCTATTGTAGTGCTCTATTGTGTACTTTACATGGAAAAAAAATGGGAGATAAGCATATAACTTTACTGAGACAAGTATTGCAATTTTTGCTGCTTCTTCTAGTACTTCTTAGACTACATGCAAGGGTAACCTTAGGCTTAGGCAGCTGACCTTGTTTCTACTTCTGATCTCTCCTGTTAAGATAATGTCTTTTATTGGTTGAGGAAGTATAAGCGCTGTAGTTTAATCTGCTTCTGTGGTCTACTGGAAATAGCAGATACTAATCTAGTTGACACGGATCTGCTTGCATATCTAGCAGATATGGATCTTCAGTTCCTCAATCCTGTTAGCTCAACTATAGCTGAACCCTGGGTAGAAGTGCAAATTAAGGTTTTAATGACTTTCTTCTCTCAGGAGTACCACGTCACCACCGTGGTGAGATCTGGAAGTTTCTAGCAGAGCAATACCATCTTAAACATCAGTTTCCCAGTAAACAACAACCGAAGAACACACCTTATAAAGAGCTCCTAAAACAACTAACTTCCCAACAACATGCAATACTTATTGACCTAGGTAAGTACAGTAGTGGTTTGAAATTAAAATAAGGGGTTTATGATCTCTGGAAAACAAAGTAACACACAAAAAGCCTCTCACCATTTAGGAATAGGTTGTTGGTAAGAACTGCTTTTAATCTGGTGTGAGAACCATTACTTGACACCATTAGGAAAATCAAAATTTGCATTTCAAGCACAGAGGTCCTTTGCAACATGTGGTAATAAGAGTCTGCTAGATATAACTGTGATGCATTTCATATATTGACAGTGAACTCCACAGGCCCATGGAATACAAACTGTCAAGAAAGGAAGTCAGTATTTAAGTGCAGACTGTTGAATTATATGCTGTTTATTCCTGATGTCCAGTGTTTGCTGTCTCTGTTCAACACTTTTACTGGAAATAATGCAGAAGTTTTGCTTTTTGCTTTTTTTTTTGCCTATTTCAATGGGTAGGTGGTAGCAGTTGGTATTTTTACTTGTACTAAAATAATTATGAAAATATATTTTTATATATATATATATTTTATTTTTTTTAAAGAAGGCTCTTTTAAAGGCAGGTTGTTCACATTGCTGAATTTTAAGCAGTAGCTGGCTCCTGACTTAGGGAGAATGAATTGATCTGTTGAAGCACATGTAGTTCATTGAGTTTAGCAGAGAGAGGTTAGGAATCAAGGCTTTTAAATGTGAAATTTAGGTGGGCTTCAGACAGGCTTTTGGTCTTCTTGAGTATTTTTCCATTTTCCCTCACATTTATTGGTCAAAGCTTAAAAAGTATTTTCTAGTGTTAGAAGGAAGCATGAGAGAGGAAATCTAAATGGAATTGAATGATTGTTTTAGGGTTGGAGCAGAAGAGTTTGCTTCCAATAATTGTAAAAGACCAATCTACATATATATCAAAAATATTCTGCCCTTCTTGCCCCTTCCTATTATTTTTCCTGGTCCTTTTCCTTCATCCGTTTAGTTCCGTTGTATGAGATTGTCTTTCATCGATTGACTCTCACCACTGCTAGATTAAGACAATAATAAAACCCAGGAACATTCAGTAAGACTAAGTCAGTACCCTCTGTAAGATGTGGATCATTACTGTCTTTGGTTGCTGCTGCTCCCAGTTGGTTTTGTTAATGTCTCTATTAGTACCAGCGACCTCCTCATCTCAGAAGCTCCCACAAGACAGCCATTTGTTTTGTAGACCTCTCAGAGGCACTTTTTGGCATCCTCTCCATCTTCCCTCATGAAGGCGCTTCCATTTTCTCCCCCAAGCAGCGCATGGCTGCTCCTCAGCTGGGTTAAGTATTTTGTGGAATCTACTGCAATCATTAAAATATGTCTAACATGACAGTAATTACTCAAATATATGTGATGGTTGGTTGGATGTTCACATGTCTAACCTTTCCCCTGGCCAAAGCATTTGTGTTGAATGCAAGCCATCTGATGCAAGTTTATAACACCTCACTGCTTTATGGCTGAATTGGAAGTTTTTACAGATAATATACAGGTTAGCCTCATGAATATATAGTTGTGGATATTTTAAAAGATATTGTTTTTTCCTCCCTTAGATATTTTAATTCAGTATATTGTCTGAGAAACCAGGAGCCGATGTTTTTCCAAGAGGATTCCAGCTTTTGTGTGTGGGATAATCTCACACTGAACTCAGTGTTCATTATGCTCTTTCCTCATAAAGCAGAAAAATTAATAATGTCTTCCAGAGCATGGTAGAACTTACAGCAAGCTTTTGTTGTAGGGTTTGTGGTTTGGGTCTGAGGAGTTGTGTGGAACAATTTAAGAGGTTCCATAATCACTATGTTTGATTAAAGGGGGAAGTTATGTCCTGCACATAAGCAAATGTCATGATAGAATGATAAAAAATATGGGAAAATCTGTACTTGGTTTGACCTCAATGATTAAAACCTCTTGTATTATTTTCACTTACATCTTTTCTGTGAAGCAATAATATGGAACAGTCCTATCATGCTTCTGCTCTTTATAATTACTCATATAGTATTTGAGTATTTTTCATTGCAAATGGAAGGCTATACCATCTTTCTTCCACATGGAAGAATTGCTCAATGAGGGAGGGATCACCTAGACCCAGAACTGTCGGGGGCACCTATTTCTTAAGAACCCAGTGTGCAGGCAATCTTCTGCAGGTACTGAACTGTGAGATTTGTCAAGTTTAGATAGTGACCTAAGCTTTATATGGTAAATAAGAATATTTTCTCTTTTTTTTTTTTTTTTTTTTTGCAACACTTGGTAAAGTGAGTCAAAATACCAAGGTAGTGCATGCAAAACAAGAATCTAGTGGGACAGGCACGTTTCTACAGAAACTGGTGGGTAGTTGAGGTAGGGAGGTTGATGGTCAATGACGCTTTCACTTTCCCATACTTGAAAGGCCTGTCAGGTTTCAACTTGGCACTACGAAGGTAACGCTCTGAGGAATCTTGTTGCCAACTAGGAATAGGCAACTGCGATGTAAGTAAGTTATTGCCCTACAGACTTTGTCACACCAATTCTAGGAATTCCCCTGATCACACAGCAACAGAAGCAGTCTTCAGTTTTTGAGAGAGACATTTATGTGCAACCAGAGATCATTCTCTAGCAAGTACCTGTTGATCAAGTCAGCATACCTGGTGTTGATACCACTGGCAGGGAACATTGTGATTCTGTCACACTGGAGTGCCTCAGTAAGGGGTAAACACTTTTGTGCTGGGTTAGTGAATTGAAAAACTTCATCAGAGGAGAGAGGTGTGGGACAGCTCCTGGCCAGGAGGGAGCACTGTCAAGAGTTTGGTTGGCTCACACCACAAACTGGGGCTTGCTGGCTCAGCAAGCTGTTCGTATTTTCTGCCTGGTTCTGCACACAAATACTTTCTTACCTTAGCCATGTGCTCTGCTTGTAGAAACAAATGACTGCATGTGTTCGCAAATTGGTAACTTCATGGTGGTTTTCATGCAAAGTGTTTTTGCGAGGAAGCTATTTGCCAGCCCATTAGCTCAGGGAAGGATTGGGCCCTATTATTTTAGTAAGATGAAACCAGGAAGCTGAAGACTTCCTAGTTTCCTAGTGGTTCACATTGAAATAGAGTAGTGCTGAACAGTAACAGACAGCATAACTGGATAGGCAGCTAGAAGGAATTTGCATGTTCTGACTTGTGTTCCTTCAGGCTATCAGAAGTGCTTTCTCTTAAATCTTTAAGAATCCTTCTGAAAGCGTGCACTTCTGCCTTGAGAGAAAATCCTATGTTCTAGCAACATGTGGTTATAATATTTAAAAAAGCTTTCCCAAATTCAGCTAAAGAGATCTAGCTAATGCAGTATGAACCAAAGCTGTAATACTTTTCACTTAGTTGAATCAATGCATCTTCAGTTGTAAATAGTGCTTCCTGGGAATGAGGACAGCGGTGTGCATCTGGATGCAAAGTAAGGTACAAAAGCCACTTTCCTGGCCCAGTTTACATGTCACAGTGCTATTTCATTATGTGGACAACAGCAAAGCCACAATTCCCTGAAGACTTTTTTGTGTATTTCCTTAGTGGCCCCACCTGCACAACTGCGGCAGTCACTGGGAATTTCAGGTCTTGAAAACCAAAGTCATATTCAATGAATTATTTAATTTCTCAGTAAGGTAAACTGACTTCCAGATGCTGTTGGTGTATGAAACGCACTACTGAGTGCAGAACATAGAAAATTATGGTGGGTTTTATTACATTTCAAAAATAAAGTAGTTACTCTCTCATTCTGGCGCTCTTGGTGTATCACAATTCATTTAGAGTCCTTAGAGTTGTTTGCTCCTGAGTGAAAGCTGAAATTCTTAAGTCGTCACCAGGGCACTCAGAAACAAAACAGCTTCTGAGTTTAGCAGTTATGCTTCTCCTTGATTTGCTGTCTTTTAGAACTTCTTTGCATTTTTATTCTTGCTCGGTTTGTAACTTTTCTTCATGACTTACATGAAGGGAGCCTTGCTGTGAGTGATGCAATATGGGTCTGCCATCAGACCATGCTGTAATAACTTGTCAGTCAGGCAGAGGCTTCCTTTGCAAACGAACACAAGCTCCTTCTCATTTGGAAGATAGAAATACTTCTGTAACATTCAACTCTTGTGACAGCCTGGCCAGGGGAGACCTGCTTAGGAACTGAATGCCAGTGTCCCATGTGACAGGCTAGAGTAGCTACCAAATGGCAGAAGGACTCTGCCCCAGGCTTTGTCTTCCTGAAACACGAGCTCTGATATTATCCAGCAGCACCACAGCATTCCTGGAGCTAAAGGGTGGGGCGATATTTAACAAGTGTGCAACTGAAAACCAAGCTTCCCTTAATACTAGAACAAAAGAAGTAGTCAAATTTCTTCTCCACTGAGGTATTTCAGAGGGGAAATCTGAAGGGGGAGATTTTTTTCCTAAAATTTCAAATGCTGCCTTTTGAAAAAGTTTTGGGGAAAAAAAAAAAATCTGTAAAAGTTAAGCCTTTAATGTCTCCGTTCACAGAATCACAGGGTGGTTGAGGCTGGAAGGGAGCACTTGATATCATCTAGTTCCTGCTCAAAGTGAGGTCATCTAAAACAGGTTGCCCAGGGCCATGGTCTCTCAGGTTTTGAATATGTCCATAGGTGGAGATTTTTTTCTTATGTTAGGTGAATTTCCTGTATTTTGCTTTGTGCCCAGTGCCTCTTGTCCTGTCAGCAGGCACTACTGAGAAGAGCCTGGCTCCCTCGTCTTCATTCCCCCATGTTGATTATTTGTGCACATTGAAAGATCCCGCTGAGCCTTTTATTTTCCAGGTTGAACAGTCCCAGGTGTCTCAGCCTTTCTTCATAGGAGAGATGCTCCGGTTGTTTCATCATCTTAGTAACTCTTTGCTGGATTTTCTCCAGTATGTCCATATCTGTCTTGCACTAGGGAGCCCAGAACTGGATACAGCACTCCAGGTGTAGCTTCACAGTGCTGAGTAGAGAGGAATGATCACCTCCCTCGAGCTGCTGGTAGTGCTCCTCCTAATGCAGCCCAAGATACCATTAGCCTTCTTTGCTGCAAGGGCTCACATTCAGCTTGGTGACCACCAAGTTAATTTTCTGAAAAGCTGCTTTCCAGCTGAGTGGCTAATAGCATGTACTGGCAGCTAACCCCATGTAAAAGGGGATTTTTCTTCCAGGTTAGTGAACTGGATGAGCTCATGGAAGACTCTGAGCTTCATGCTGTAAGAAAGAAGGAAGGACCCATAAGACTAGGAGGGACACAGGCAAGGAGTGTGGGGGCAAGAGACACATTTACTAGGGAAGAAAGAAAGGGAAGAGGCCCCAGCCTAGAGAGCTCAGGTCTTCTAAGTCTGTACCTGGATCCTAAGTTGTTTAAAAGGTAACACTTTAATCAAGAGGACTAGGTGACTCATCAAGCCACTGAAGACTAGTCTCTCGCTATTGTAAGCAGCCCTATAAGCCCTTTAACAAACTGATCAAGGGCCAGTCTTAAGAACCAGTTACTCAGCTGTTCCAGACAAAATACTGTCCCCACCCCTGGCAGCAATTTTTAAGTTAATTTTGCAACTACTTTAACAAAACAGTAGTAGAGCATAAGAGTCAATTGTTTTGTATTGTTAACTTTTTTACAGTCTTCCTGGGGATGATTTCAGAATTGACCTTTCAAGAGGATCTACCTTTTTGAAAGACTGTTTAATTTGATAACATGGCAAGGGTTTTTTGATGTTTTTTGTTAAGGGTTGGTTGTTTGGGTTTTTTTGGTGGTGGTGGTGAGGGTGGGTGGGTTTATTACTATTATTTTTATTTTTTAATTTAAGTCACCACCTTTGGTTGTTTTCACAGGACGCACATTTCCAACACATCCGTACTTCTCAGCACAGCTGGGAGCTGGGCAGCTGTCACTCTACAATATTTTGAAGGCCTATTCACTTCTGGACCAGGAAGTAGGATATTGCCAGGGCCTTAGTTTTGTAGCAGGAGTTCTGTTACTTCATATGAGTGAAGAAGATGCTTTTAAAATGCTGAAGTTTCTCATGTTTGATGTGGGCCTGAGAAAACAATATCGTCCTGACATGACAATTTTACAGGTATGATTTAAATTTTTCTAATGAAAGGATGCTAATGTTAAACCATAGTAATGCAGTACAGATAGGATTGTCAAAATCTGGACTTGAACTTAAATTCAGCTCTCAGAAATGAAGAAGATTAATCTGTGAACAGAATACATCATGTTAAATGCATTAGTTTCAATAAAAAGACTACTAGGCAAACTGTGAAAACCATAAATAGGAAGAATTCTTTTATGTGCTGTATGAGGTTCAAATGAGCATGTCCTAGGCTCACAGGTGACCCATCCTGGGTCTTTTAAATAGCTTCTATTTCTTTTCTTCAATCCATCCAAACACTAATTGACAGATACCTTTCACTGCTTCTAGTAAGTGTGAAACACAGATGTTGCTACCCCCCCCCCCCCCGAGTGTTAAAATGTATTTATCTTTATTCTCTTTGTTCTTATTCCCTGCAGATCCAGATGTATCAACTGTCTCGACTTCTTCATGACTACCATCGAGATCTCTATAACCACCTAGAGGAACATGAGATTGGCCCCAGCCTCTATGCTGCTCCCTGGTTTCTCACCATGTTTGCCTCCCAGTTTCCCCTTGGATTTGTAGCCAGAGTGTTTGGTAAATCTTCATAAACCCCTTTTATATTTGGAATCCTGTTATTTGGAACAGCATTATTACCCAACCTGATTCAGAAATCCAGAATTATTTTACTTACTATTGATGAATAGAAGAGCAACATCTTTTGGAACATGTAGTTTTCATAGTAAAATGGAAAAAGAAAGGAAGAAAGCATATGTCAGTCCTGTTCTGTCTTTCCACCCTCACTGTTACCTTTTCCCACCCTGTAACCACTTGCACAGGGGATGTAAACTTTGATGCCATGAAGGCATGGTGTTACAACAGTGGCACTTCAACAGCACAATTAGTTTTACGCTGAAAAGAGATGTAACAAAGGTATCATCTGAGAACTATATTAATCTACTTCATTATCTTTGTCTCCAACAGTGTCAGTGGAAAATTATATTGAGGGTTATGTTTTTAAACACACACAGAGGTGGCCGTTGCAGTTTAATCACGGATTTACGCTACAGAAACATAGTCTTTTAAACTGGTGTTTCTTATCCTTACAATTTTAGCCTGACTGATAATCTCACTTCCAAAAATGTTTGAAAGCATAAGCTTAGGCTCTAATATGTAGGATCCTAACAAATTTAGGCCCTAAAGTCACTTCTGTTACTTATTTTTTAAATCTACAAAAGTAAAGTTCTCTTTTTTTTGTTTTGTTTTGTGTTAATTAGATTCCAATTAAGAATTTACCTTGATGCTATGTTATGGATTTAGATTTATAGATTGTTTGGTATTTGAAAAGATCCTAAATATAGTTTTGTCTACCACAATAACAAATAATGAATTACAGATTCCACGAACCACCAACAATAATCTTTTCGTCTTTCGGGTAAAGGATATGCCAAAAGTAGTACTGTAAGAGATCACAGTGAAAAGGATGGTGTATAGCTAAGCAGATCTATGTGTCTGTGATTAGCATCTTAACTCCAGGGGAAGCAGGGGAAGCAGCACTTTTTTTTTTTTTCCTGGAACAGTTCAAAGGACATCAATATCTCGTTGACAGTAATAATTGTTAGGAATTAAATCAAGTGCTGTATGCAGGTGTCATATACTGAGTTTATAATCAGTTCATCTTTCAATTCTTCTTATTCATAGTATTGTACATGATAAGAATAGTCTTTGACTTGGACAGTTGACTGCAGTGGAGGTATTAAAGTGCCTTGTGTCTCCAGTATATTTGGATTTCTGCCTTAATACATGGATTAGTATTTTATCTGTCAGTGGAGGATTGTAAGGCTTTAGAAAGCAAAGATTTTACACTGGAATAGAAAGGATAGACACATGATCTTCACAGGACTGATTTTAGGTCAGAAACAGAAAAGCATGTGTGACTGAAACTGTAATATCTTAAAAATACCTGATGATTTTTTTTTTTTTGAGACAGTCCATCACAACCAACACTTGCAGTTTTTAATGTGTCAAAGTGTTTAGTAATTTCCTTAAAACAGTGTTTACTGGAACAATGTAGGGCAAGAACATTGAACTTTTTTTACATTAGAAAGCAAAATCTCCTCTTCACCCATGATGCAGACTGAAACACAAATACAAACCTGAAAAAGGCTAGAGCTGTCAGTTTGATAGCAGCTGTCGTTAGCAGCATGGCAAGTTACGATCCAACCAGTTATGACCCATGTGTTCACACACTTTTGCAGAACATACATACGTTTTTGTTGCTCACATATTAGAACCCTTGGGATGAAAGAATGTTGCCTTTTAATGTTGAAGTAACTCATCTGTAGTTTACTAAGGCTGTAAAATTGTTCTGCCATTTTCTAACATGGTATCTCTAAACCCTTCATATTGGAAGCCCCACTGCTGTTTAATAAGATAATTGTTATAGACCACTTCCTTTAGATTTCCATAGAGTATAGTGTCTGCAAACATCTTACAAAGCAATATATGAAAGAAATGGGCCAGAAGGAGGTTGACCCAAAGACTGTTTAATGAGTCCAATAGTAAAACTTCTTTTAAATTTTTAATCATCTATCCAAGCTTTCAAGAATTCTCCTAAGTGGTATCTAATGAGAGCGCAGCATTAGCAAAGGTGTGTTCTTTATTAATCAGATTTACTTATTAATGGAGGAGCCTTGGTGGAATAGTGTTTATGTTATTTCAAGATTGTAGACAAAACTTTTTTTTTTTTTAATGCCGGAGGCTTTGGGTACTTTCACTGTACTGCTGTTGGCTGGCAGCCCGCTTAATGGGAAGTGTGGGGAGTGGATAACAAATAGGTCTTTGTTAAGTCTTTGCTATTTTAAATGAGAGAGATATTTCAGCTCTGCATTACCAGCTCAGCTCATTAACAACTTGTAGATCAACTCAAGGTGACCTATGTGACTTTCTGGGTGAGGTGCTGAATAAAAAATGTGTTATTTTTAGCTCTGTTTTTTTCACTTTGTGTTTCTTAGATGTTCTTCAGCATTTCCTGTCACAATATAAAGCTTTCTCTATAAAGCTTTTTCCCACAGCTTTCAGTTTCAGTAGAGAATTGAGGCTCTGTTACCACTTTTCAATCATTCTTGACTTTGGACTTGTCATTGAATCAGAATTGAAAAATTTTACACCACTTTTAGGACAAATGGTGGCAAAGTGCAAGATTTATGGTTAGTTATTACTTTTGCTTTTCTTTCTCAGAGAGAAAGAGAGAGAAGTGAAATGAGTTATGGCTTCAACATTACAACCAAAAGAGCACAAGGGGAAATTTCATTCTGATACAAACTTGAAAAGAGAGTTGATTTTACTCTTTTTCCAGTAAGAAGGCAGTTAACCAGTGTTTTCAGATGTTCTTTACTATATCAGATACACCTGTAGTTTTGCTAGCAGTTGTTTTTCTTACTGTGTGGCAGGGTTTGTTTCTCTTTTTTCAGTCTTCATTATTCTTTCTTTTTTTTATCATGAAGACAAACTGTTTATTTGGTGTCTTTGTTTTACTTCATAAGTAGCTGTGATTTCATTCACAGCTTTAAATACAAAGACGGGAAAGAGCACGAGAGAAGCCCTTTAAAAATAAAAATCTATTTAGGAAATACAGAATAAACCCATAGTATCTTCTCTTCCTTTTTCCACCTCCATTAGTATTGTTTTGTATGTTAGATGCTTTTGCCTGCAGTGAGTCCATCAGAAAAAAAAAAAAACCTGAGCAGATTCTGAGTTATAATAGCAGGAAAGTAAATGCAGGGCAATGCTGTCTGTCCTCTGGACAGATGGGTTTGTGAAGATGGGTTTCTTGTCTGATGCTTTCATTACAGTCTTCTGTTTCTTTCCTCTATGAAGACACAGGCCACTTGTAAAGGAAAAGAAAAGAAAGGATGTTGCATTGAAAGGTCACTATATACTGTAGTTTCAGCATGCTTGTACATATGTCAGGTGCTGTCATTCGAGGGCCACAGGCAATATTGACACTTTAGCTGTATTACTAAGATTTCAGGATACTTCTTAATGTAATTTTTAGAATATTAATGTAAGCGGTTGAGACACATACTAAAAATAAGCACATGCACATGAAACCTGAGGCTGCTGGAAGGTGTGCATTTAGCCTTATCTGCTCAGTGCTGTATTAACTAAGTGTCCTGGTTTGGGCTGGGATTAAACCACAACACTGAGATTTTGTAGTTTTCTCCACCAGAAAACAGAATTTCAGATCTTTGGTTGTGTCTTCAGGTGTATTTTTTGCCTGTTTTATTAGGGTTTTTAAATGGCATTGGGATCTGAATCTATTCAAATTCAGATTCCTGTGAACATCTCTAAAGAAATTACATGCACAAAAAATGGTGACACTGGCAAACCTGGTTTATTGTGTACTTAGCTTAAATTTGAATTGGATTTTTTGGAAAAAACTTGCTAAACAAATTGAAATTTGCTATTCCTGGTAATAATCTTGACCCTGCAAAACTGCTAACGCCATAGCCACAGTAATTAAAGCACGTGTCTGGCACAGTATTTTAGCCTCCAGGTCAGTCCTATGAGAAGTTGTTGTCTTTGGACATTTTACTAGTTTAATATTCTTGTCAAAACATGTGTTTGCTTTATGTACTCTCTTTTTTCTTTGTTTTCACAGATATGCTCTTTCTTCAAGGATCAGAGGCTATATTTAAAGTGGCTTTAAGCCTTTTGGGAAGCCACAAGCCATTGATTCTGCAGCATGAGAACCTAGAAACTATTGTTGATTTTATTAAAAGCACTCTCCCCAACTTGGGTTTGGTACAGATGGAAAAGACTATTAGTCAGGTATGAAAAGATATAAACATATAAGAAGTATGCAAAGGAATGCTCTTTTTCACAAGTTCTTGACAAAAAAACTGCAAGCGTCTTGTGTTACTTCGAGCTGAGAATCCTATTATTGTAGCTCTGAAGACTGAAAACTTTTGGAAGCATATGGCTCGTGTAATACTTCTGTATTCATACATCTGCATGTTGGTTATGGTCACTTTATGAAGCTTTTAATGAAAATGAGGTATTTTTAAGTGTGCGACTCTTGTTATTGGCAGGAGTATTACAGCCCATACACTGTGCATTCCACAAAACAGTGGGCTAAAAGCCTTCTGAGTTTTCCTGTCTCCAGTCTTGCTCTCCAAGTCTCATTTCAGAAGCAAAAGCTTACTTACAAGAGCTTCACAGATGTTGACCTTACTTGATGAAATTGGGAGTCCCTCCCTACACTGACTTTGTCTATACTGGCTTTTATGGTGCTGGCTCAGTATGTTACAACAGTGCCTTTGTAATCCTGCCAGGAGTACATGGGGTACTGCAGTCTCTTGCAGTCACCAGTGAGTCTAGACAGCAAAGACTTGGAATCCTTGCTATACTATTTTTAAATGGCAGACAAGGAAGATGATGCAGTATTGCTAACCTGTCAGAAGAATCCAGGAGATAACTGTGGAATTTGAGAAAATCACAGATTATTGCAATTAAGGTTTGCCTTTTTAGAAACCTTAACTGTTACACTTGACATCTAATTTGCAGCAGACAAAGAGATGATGGGGTTTGTTTTTCTGATGGCCTTTTGTGGTGTAAAACATGGAGGGGCAGGGGGTACTATGCAGAACTACAAATGCCTGCGACTCACCACGGGCAGCAGGAGATGTGCAAAGCCTGTGGCTTGATAAAGAAAGCAGGCAGCTTGCGAGGGGTTCCTTTCTGATCCCTGGCAGCAAAGCTTCCGGAGGACATTAATTAGACATGAATTAGGATCAGGAAAATTGCTTCTAGTGCTCATTGTCAAAGGAAGGAGTGAAGAGCTAGGAAGCCTGTGCAAGGGGAAGGAAAGCAAGTGATATTTAGGGAGCGAAGGGCATTGTGTGTTGTCTGCTAGGCTGAAAGTGTGGAGTGTACAACTCTGCAGAGATTTGCAGTACTTAGGCAGGCGATATGCAGAAAACCATTGGCTTTGAGCAGAAGGATACTCTGTTTAGGCAGCTCTGTAAATTTAAAGTAGGCAGTGAGTTGAAGGGAGAGCAGTTCCTCCTCTGATCAGAAGAAAGCCCATTGTCTGACCAGCCCTGCAGTCCATACACAGTTCCTGGGCTAATCCCCATTCTCCTCATGCCTTCTGCAGGGTGGCCTCTGGTTTACATGCCCTAACATGCCTTCAGTTAGCTAGTTTTCATGTCAAGCTTTTGATTTGCATCATGTTTCCCCCGCTTCAGATGTGATACTTTGGGTATGACAGCAGGGATTTCCCTCACTTCTCAAGAGCACAGGGGCTAGAAGTGACAGAGGTCAGACGAAAAGAACTGGCATTCTACCCTGCTGAATTGCACCGTTTGCTTTACTGAAATGTCAGTAGTGTCTGTTCTCCAGAGATGCGCAGACCTACAGAAAACGAAAGATCCATGTTTAACCAAACTCAAAATTGTGTTATAGCCTTCTGTACTTAGATGCTCAGTATGTGTGTTTCTGCTGGTATAAAACTATGAGGTAATTTTTTTATAGCACATGTAACAGGTGTCAGAAACAGTTCATAAACTGGTATTTTCTTTAGCCAAGAAAGCTTTGTAGACAAAGCAGATAAAATAGATAATAACTATTATTACTTCAAGAGGTATTTAAGATAGGATTTGGTATTTGACTTATTTCCAAAATGAGTAAAGTACAAGAGGTTTAAAAATAATGAATAACCCTTGAACTTGTATTTTGGGGCTATTTTCCAGATGTGTTTTAAAATCAACTTTAGTTTCTATTATGTTCTTTGATTAGCACACTTGGCCTTTTAATTTACCACCCTCTTCAGTGCTTTCAGAGGAGATAGCTAGCACAGGGACAGCAGAGACATATTTTCTTATAATTTGAAGGCAGATGTTTGCCAAAACCTAGAAAAAGGAAAATACAATAGCAGTGGTTTTTATTTGGATCACTCAATTTATTCATCTCTTTTTATAATAAAAGGTTTTCTTAATATTCATGTGTAAGACTGAGCGCTCATTTTGGTGAGTCTTATTTAAAATAATAGAAATCTACTTTGACATTACATAATGTGTCCATTACGTGTGTTAGTGTAAGGACAGATTAGTTCATTTTCAGTCTCTATGAATACTGTAAAATCATAAATCTAGCAGTGTTTACTGTTTCTCCTTTAAAGCTTTCATTCTACTTAGCCTTACGCTTCTCCACGTGGCACATGGGCGTGGAGCAGAGTTTTCTAAAATTACATCTAATTCTGAGTATGTGTAGGAAGGTTTATGCCACACTCGGATGTTATTAAATGACATTTTTGGTGAAGTTTTTAAGTAGATCTAATTCCAATGTATTGCACTCTACTGCCTCAATCTTGCCATGTGAATGACAAAAATAGTCTTTTTTTTTGTACACAGGGATTAGATATCTAAGTCTAGATCCATGGATTTCAAAGCATTGAATGATTTTGATCTGCACAGCACCTAATATTATTTTTGTATACAACAGGTGTTTGAAATGGATATTGCCAAGCAGTTGCAAGCTTATGAAGTTGAATATCATGTGCTTCAGGATGAGCTTATAGATTCTTCTTTGAATGACAATCAGAGACTGGATAAATTAGAAAAAGCAAACAGTAGCTTGCGCAAACAAAACTTTGATCTTCTGGAAGAACTGCAGGTACAATTTATATTTCATAATTATCTGATTTTTCTACCTTTACAGAAGGGATTGTCCTACACCAGGGCACAGGAGAGATTGGCGTTTGGTCTATTGACTTCAAAAGCATAGCCACTAGCAGTTTTATTTAATTTTGTTTTTAAAATTTAAATGCAGAAGAAGTCGAGAGGGGTGGATAGAACATGTGCTTACAATTAGTGAAAAGTTGATTCACCACACTGTCTCTTTGGGCAAGGAAATTGTTGAATGTAGCATGGGGGAGAGGGATTTCTGGGATGAGATTCCAGATGGAATATCGTATAGATAGCTACACCAGGGGATCTTCTACTCCCTTCTGTCCCTAAAGACTTTGCAGCCCTAAGCAGTTTTTTACAAAGCTCATCTCCACCTGTGTGCTGCCAAGTCAGCACCCAACATTATAGCAGGAACTTAACCCTAGTGTTGGAACAGTCCCTTTGTCTTGCATATGGGGCTTCATTCAGCCTTCATTTCCTATAGTGAAAGGTCCTCCATTGATGATGGGAGGAAAGTGCATAACCAAACAATGGGTGCCATGGTTTGTCGATGTTTTTCCCCCAAAGGCTGAACTTGTAAACCCAACACAATTACATGAAGAGCAGTGAGCTCATCAGAAGGGCAAATACTTCCCTGAAAGCCAGGACCACCATATTGTCTCCTAATGTTATTCAGTGCTGAAACTTTGAAACAGATCTCTGCTTTTGTCAAAGTAGCTCAGCTACAAATCTCACATGATGAGATTGGATGATCTAATACTTTGATTTGCCATCAAAGAGCAGCCTTTTGAAGGAGAATTTTTGGAATTTTTCATTATGTGTTCTCTGTTTCCATATTGCTCTAAATCCACTCTTTCCCCTTCACCTCCAAAGCTGAACTAAATGTTGAGATGACACGAGGATGGGTTGTCTTTGCTTTGCAAAGCATGTGCAATTCAACAAACATGGTTGACTGAGATGGTCTCCTAACAGACCCATACAGAAGCTTATCTTAGCCTGCAGGTTTTTAGTATATAATTTGCAGACTTAGTAACATTCTGATTTCATTACTTGGCATTGTATTCTGAGTCTGATTGTGAGCTAAACAAAGCAATCAAGTTGAGAGAGGGAAGTTTCTTGTTACAGCCAACAGTAGTTTCTTATTGTAGTCTAAAGTATACAGATCTAATAACATTCATACCTTCCATTTACCTTTGCAATTTTTCATTTGGAAATTACTTTATGTGTGTTAATGTATCTCAAAAAATATTTTAAAGTTGGTTTCAGTTATTAATAAATTTCCCCTTTCTTCCTCTCTCTTCCTTTCTTTTTATTCTGAAAGGTGGCCAATGGAAAGATCCAAAACCTTGAAGCCACAGTAGAGCTTTTATTGACCAATGAAGGCAAATTGAAGCAGTCCATTCTCACGCTTGAGCAGGAGCGAGCAGCTTTGTTGAAAACAGTGGAAGAGATGAAGAAAAAGATTGGTGATGCAGATGGGAAGCCTCTGCTTACTAGACAAGGACATATGGTTGCGGACTGACATTCACAGTAGTAATGGAGCAGAGAAGCTGAGCAAGAAACAAAGGGAAGAACTGGGTCTTTCTGTCATGATCCGTGGGGATTTGACATTATCATTTTCATTGTACATGCCTTACTCTGTAGCAAAGCAAGGTATAGGCATGGTGGCTTCCTGTATCAGAGAAGCTGGTTTCTCATGGAGAAGGCTCGCTCTTAATATGCAGAAATACAGTAAGATACCACATAATAATAAGCAGGAAAAGCTTAATAGCATGTGCAGTCATACACAATATGCTTTAAAGATGTTATGGATTTTTCCGTAAGTGCTTTTAAACCTAAGTGCTTTGTGTTTGTCACAGATTTTGTTTGTGTGTAGATCACCACCGTTGTTAAATGTACATCCTTTAGAAGGCCTGTTGAAGAAATATGGCAATGTAAAGCCTTAGAATGAATGACTGCCCCATTGCAGCTATGCAGCGATAACATTTACAGTTTTGTGATTGGACTGGAGATACTTTTGACAGTGTAATTCCCCTACAGCTTGACTGGGTTCTGTTAATTATGTTGTTTGTGCTTCAGAAAACTGCTTCCTAATGCTTGAAGGTGCCAATCCATTGGACTTCAGAGAGTTGGACTTCATCATATGTAACTATGCATAACTGGGGGGCTGCCATCTGTTTTTACATTGGTTTAGTATATTTTTTGTTTATCAACCATTAATTTAGTATGTTGTTAGTTGGCATTATCTGATAAACATACTGTATATAGTAACTGTATTATGCGTAAAAAAATACACTGACATTGGTTTGGTGAAGCCTGTGACTTTTGCGACATCATCCAAGGATTTATATTCATACTCTTCAAATTTCATCTTATTTATTTCTGATCTGCAGTGTGATGTAGGACAACCTTTTCCTGGGAAACTAATGCCCACTGTCATGTGTTTTTTTTTCCTTTATTCAGGCATTTCAAGATCTTCATGTTGTGCCAGATGTGCTTAAACTGTTTTATAAAGAGTATGGCATTCTTTTTACAATTCATCTTTCGAGTAAGATTACACATGTAGAAACAAATATTTCTCTCTTTCCTTAATACAATGAAAGTAGTTTTCAGGCCAGTTAAAGTACCACTGCTACAAGTGCAATAATATCCATGGATATCCATTTGTTTGGGTTTGCTTCAGAATCAGGAATAGTGTCATAGTTTTGTCCAGTCCCCAGGCACAGAGGTAATAGGCATCAGTGTTTTGTTATGGTGGAGATTGATTTAGGAGATGGGGGGGGGGGGGGTATTTCTGTCTTTACTTTTAAATTTTCAAAGCACACAGTGTTTTCTCTGACTGGCAGTGTAGAAAAGGTTTTGGTTTACTTTTTCCTTTTCTCATGCAAACCCACCTGACACATTGTGGTTGTAGTTTAATAGCAGACCTGTAACATTCATCTACAGTGCAGGACAAATACCTCTATGTAGGTCAAAAAGAAAAAAGATCATTTACTCTTCAATTTCTAGAAGCTTTGTTTGACTCTGTTGTTTCTTAAATATGTCTGGTTCTTGCAAATCCACTCTGTATTCACTTAGTATGGAAATTCCAGATAAATCAGTTATTATTAATCTATTTACCCCTTAGGTTTGGCTTTTTATTTGGAAATCATATTGAAGCTCATGCTTCATGTTTAAAACCTGTCATAATGGACCTTATACTTTTAGAGCACTCAGTAGTGTTGCATTTTTACAGCGTAGTGCCATAATTCATACACTGACTTTTTAACAAGAATAATAAATATAATAATAATCTATGCCTACATCTATGTCTGCACATTTTTTGACATTTAAAAACAAAAACATAATTGGTGGGGTGACAGTTCAGAATGGTGTCAGATGAGAATTTCCCTAAAAGTACAGTACCATCTACAGTGGTTATTAATGGAAACTCTTAGTCCTCAGATTCTTCCAAACATGCTAAGAATCCAGCTGTGATCTTGGGACCTGCATCTGTGCATGTTGACCAAGGCGAAGTACGTTCCACATGACTCCAGGGGTGCATTCCTTGTGATGTTTTGCTTCTCTGCTAGTGTAAGTGGAGGACTACTCCTAGTCCAGAGCCTTTTATTCAGAATTTGAGTAATGCCAGCGCATTTAGGTGAGGACTAAAGTCACTGTTCTTAGAATGTGGCAAAAAGATAATGAGCAACATTTAGCTTTTGTGACTGCATAGATGTAACTGTTTCATTGTATCAGGGAGTGGAATTTTCTGCAGCTAAAAATGCATTTTCTATTTGTACATATGCAATTAATACAGTTCTGTTAAATATGTAAATGCCTGGCAAAGTGAGGGATCATGCCATCCACTGGGCATGTCTGAACACGAACAAAATAGCTGATTTAAGTCTTTCTGCTGCTTATACTGAAGCAGATATATGGTATGTTTCTTCAGGATGTCTCTCGCAATCCTGTGCCTCTCCAGTTCAAGAGGCCAAAGTGGAAAAAAAGTGGAGGAAGGTAATGACAGTTACCCTATTCCCAACTTTGGAATATCTGTGGGCTTCTCCCTTCAGAAGTATGGGAAGGAAGTAACAGAGCCCAGAGCTAGTACCAGATACTTGCATCCTCCTCCAACTACATTCTGTAGCTAACCATCCATAAGGATGTGTATAATTAGATCTCTTGTTGTCTGACTACCAGCAATTGTCATTCATCACATACTGTCTTCCATAGAACAGCAATTTCAGATTTGGAGAATGTTCTAAAAAAAAACCCTACTAATCCATACACTAGTCCTCAGCAGGAATCCCGAATGAACCACTCCTGGAAAATCCAAGTTGAAATAATCAACATCGTCTCCATCTCACTTTTACAGATGAAAATCCTCGGGAGTGATGCTTAGTTTTTGAAGAAAAGAAAAAACAGTGAAGAAGAAAGGAAGGAAGGAAGGAGTATTCACTTGTATGTACAGCCTAGGCTTACAGAGGTGCACAACAAAGGCAGCAAGGTGTGCAGTCCAAATGTGCTAGTGAATGACATTGATGCAGTTGTCTGGAGAGAGGTTAGCCTGAAATGTGGAAAAGTTGGCATGCATAGCAAGGAAAAGGTAGCTCCGCTAAACTATAGAACTGAACAGTACTGAATAACTGGAGGACTTGCTGTGGTGTGGTTCTGGTTTGGTTTTTCCAACCAGTGCAAGCAATAGCTCATGGTAGGTACTTGTGATTCCCTGTACTTCTGGCTGTTTGATGTACTTTTATATTTTGCCATGTTGTCTACCCAGAGATCGTTACTTAATACAAAATCTGAGAATGATGGCATTGCCCATCATGTGAGAAGGTCAAAGCAGATTAATAAAAGCATGTATTATAGGTCTTCCCTTATCCAGAGTGAGAATTGAGGCACAAAGTTCAAAGACTTGCGCCAAATATTTGGTTTTTCACTGGTTACTTGCACTGAAATCTAGATCTTCCAAATCATGGTCAAACTCTTGCTGGTTGTCTGACAGATTGTTCCACAAGGTCTGTAATGTGTACTCATTAGTTACACAATGCTCTGCTGAAGCAATGTAAAATGGGAAGTGCAGTCACTGGAACTTTGTCCTTTCCCGATAGCTATGCCTCCCTCCCAACAGCAACTCTCAGTTCTGCTAAAACATGCTGTACCAGATACCTCTTCTGCAGGCGTTTTTACACTCTGCAGCTCTTGCTTCGTATGCTAGAGTAGGTGAATTGCCAGCAATCCTGAGCAGCATGGATGGTAGTATAGAGTTGCCAGTCAACCAGTATTCTTGGGATTTTTTTCAAACATAGTAATCTTTGATAAGAGTTGACGTTACGTAGGGCAAAAATCATGGAACTGCACCTAGTAGGACTCTGAACAAAGGATGGTAATCTACACAGAAGAGAGGACAGTGTAGCTAGTGCTTTTTCTCTTTTGGGATCTTCCTCTGTCAGTCAGTGGGGCAGGAGCTAAATCAATTTTTTGGTGACTTTGAAGTCCACCATGATAGCTGCTGCAATTCCACCATAATAAAACATCCTGATATGGCAGAGCACACCATCACTTCTTAGCCAAGTCAGGTGGGATAGTGTCAGTGCCCACAGTGCATTCCCCTCTCTCCTGGAGGTTTGGCTGCTTAATTAGATAATGTACCTTAACTAATTAAGACACCTGCCCTTGAGGCACTTCTGGCCTCCAGCAGCTTCTGGCCTCAATGCCTACGGATCTTGCAGCCATTCAACAAAAAGCTGGAGGAAGCCAGGTGCTTCAACCCTGCCATCACCTCTTAGGAGCTGCATTTAAGCTGAGGCTCTTGTCCCTGAGACATGTTGCAACCACACTTGTGTCTGGCTGTACCTTGTTGATCCTTACCTACAGACTTGGCTTCCTGGCCTGACTTTAGACATGCCTCACCACCACAGCCTTGTCTGGTGACCTGGACTGGTGACCTGCCTTGATTGTCCTTTTTTGGGTGTTGTGGGATAGCCCCCTTGTCAGTAAGTTGCTCCCCTCAGCTCATGGCTCATTTTCTCCTTCAGAGCAGTGCCTGCCCTTGCGGCTCCCCAACACACAGCCCCATAGCACAGCTCAGGTTACATGTCTACACTGCTTCTGATTCCAGTGGTGGGCTGGTCAGAGCTTGTTTAGGTGTTGCTACATGACACTGCTTCATTGAGCAAGCAAGCTAGTTCTTCTTAGAGCTTGTTATAGGGACCTCCAGTGCAATGGTCATGCTGTGTGAAAGGGCCCTTACTAGTATCCTACCTCTTTCAAAATACTGTGATCACGTTCTTTTCCACTTCAAACAGTGCACCATATTTGTATGCTATGTTGATGACACAGAGTGCCTAAATGGAAAAGACTACATTTTTACTCCAGCTGGATGAATGCCATGATTGCTTGAGGCATCTTAGATCATTGCACAGTATTTATACAGTGCCACACCCTGTGATGTGAAGTAATTTTTCTTCAACAGATCTTTACTAGAACAGGCCTATGGGAGGGAGAAGAACACCAGCAGCCAGGCTAACCATTGGGATGCAACCTAGGCATTGCTTTTGGAAGGTACATGTGTGGCTTACACCCACAAAGTTTTACATAACCTAAATTAGGGTACTCATTTGCTCATGCAGCTGCCAAAAAGTGTTCCTTTCATTTAAACAAACCTGAGGATGCAAGAATTCAATGCCTCAAAGTAAGCAAATCAGGAAGTACTTCATTATGTAGAAGACTAGTTACTCTTTTGCATAAAGGGATTTTTTTCTTCTAATTGCATCATATATTTTCATGCTGTTAGAAAAGCTTTGGGGCTATAGATACTAAAAGATGATGAAGGTGCTCTTGCAGAGAGAATGTAAATAACTTCGTTTTTGAGCTAAGAGCAGAACATGCTAATTACCTTTTGTATCTGTCCTTTGTTACTAATGAGATGGTGAGTTTCCATTTTGCATTAGTTATTTGCAAATCATTCTAATCAAAATAGTCCTCAGAAAGAAGTCTTCTTGCTACAACTTGATTTGTCCTACTTCTCTTGAACGTGTTTTGGGTGGGTTTTTTTGACTGTTAAGTAGTATTTAAGAAGTTTCCAAGTTCTGTTTTCTCAGGATTTTTTTTTTTCATAAGCTGTTACAGGATGAACAAACACAGCACTCCTATGGAGAGTCTTTTTCGATGTTTCCAACTTCTGGTGCTTAGGTTGTTGGCTCTGTAGATAATGAAAAGTCTTGCAGTGTCAAAGATTTGGAATTGACAAGGCAAGAACTGACTCAGAGTATGTCTCCTGCACGTATTAGTTAAGATGAGCTGAATAGCTTGAAGAGTCAGCCACTGATTGGGTCTTTGAGTGCATGAAGCCATAGATGCTTGATGGGATTATGGTACATGCATGTCTCTCCAGCTTGTTATTTGGAGTTTCATATCACAATATGTGCATATCACAAAAAATCTGATTCCAAAACAACCTAAACATAACCTGAAATGCAATTGCCATTTAGTATTTAATGGCCTGCTGCACCAATTGTGTCTTGTATTTTTTGGTAAGGAATTTCAAATGGTGGTTTGAGTGGTTAGAGACTGAGGTAACAGGCAGATACTGAGAAGCAGTGAACCTTGCAATTGGCAAAGTAGCAATATAATTTACAGTATGTAAGCAAGGAATAATTATACAGCCTTTGAAGTGCATTCTGTACAGTAAACTTGTAAAGAAAGTTGTTAATAAACATTATTTTGAAAGAAGGAAAAAGAACCTTATTAAAATTGGACAGAGTTGGACTGTTGAGAGCAGGTAGGACCAGCCATGATAAAGCCATGACATCTTCAAGACCTGCAGTAGGATTTCTAACATACCATAAAGAGGTCTGACTGCAAATATCCATTAAACTGAGAAGCAATAAAAGTCTGAGCATAGTGAAATAATCTGGATAAGCCTCAGAAAACCTTCAAGTTTTTTTTGCAGTTCCTGATGGACTTCACAGAGGCAGGCCTCAGTGCACGGGTTCTCTGAGGAAGAAAATGTGTTGTTCTTTTCAAACGCTGGAGAAAGTCATATAAGACCTGATCACATAACTTAGTCATGTGGTCAGGAAAGGTTGCTTCCTGGTAAAATGGAAAGTAAAGGAAGAATTTTTAACACAAAAATATCCTCTGACAGCCTCTGGTTAATCTCTGTGATACACTGATGTCTTCATAGCACTGAGAACAAGTGTCAGTTTCAATAGTACCTGGAAATGACAATCAAATTGCAATTTAAGTAGCTGCTTCCAGCCACGGACACTTTTACAATATGTAACCTTGTTGGAGCTGAAATGAAAAT